AGGCCTCAGGGGACAGGAATCCCCCACTGCCTCGGGTCCAGCCTGCTGCCTGAGGAGAGGAAAGGACACCGAATGGGCAGTCACAGGATCCCTTGCCCACTGGGGAATGTTTACGCCCACACATGGGTCTCTTCGGCCCTCCCGGGTGCTCTTTGGTTTAGCTCTCGCGCCCACTGGCTGGAGAAATGGCCCGGCCCGTCCGCGTCGACGTTCTCCCGTCTCTTCGGGGGCGGGACCTCCAGCCCCCTGCCCGGCTACGCCTTTGGCCCCCCGGGGGGCGCGCTGCAGATCCAGCGTCTCTCCATTGAGCACCGCGAGGAGCTGATGGCGATGCCTTCCTTCAGGTACACGCACTCCCCGCCCCCTCCGATTTTAAACCTGCGGGGAAGGCACAGAGGGACCGTCAGAGGCATGGGGTGGGGGCGACTCCCAGCACAGTCCATGGACACGCACAGTCACACGGCCCACCAAGGCCGCTCACTGGGGTCCCCCTCCTCCATCACCGAGTGTGGGGCAGTCACCCATCCGGACGTGACTCCCAGGCAGCAGGTAGAAGAGAAGGCTCACGCGTTGACAGGGACACAGCGTAGCACCGACTTGCCGTTACAGGAACCAGGAGCAGTTAGCACCATCCATCTTGGGGATAAAGGGAGCCCAGAGGCTTCTGCCTGACTCCCCAAGCCAGCTAGACTCTCCTCTCCCTCAGCCAGCTGAAAACTCAACTCACACACCCAACAACTGGTCCCAGCCCTCTAGGCAGCCCCGCCTCCTCCTTTATCCTGCCTCCGGGTCCCAAGGTGTTATCTGCTGTCACCTGGTCCTCAGGAGGTGAGAGACTGCAAATACTTCCCCAGTGACTCATGCCCAGCTTTCCCAGGGAAAGTGAGGCACACACACACACACACACACAAGAACACATATTCCTGTGCATCCAGAAATATAATCTATGCTATCATGTGCCTAAAGTGTCCATCTACTATGTACATTGGACAAACGTCTCAGACACTTCACCAAAGGATCAACGCCCACAAAACAGATATTAGACAAGATCACAAAGAAAAAACCGTTTCTTGCCATTTCAACCAGAAAGGACATTGTCTCAGCCAGCTGAAAACTCAACTCACACACCCAACAACTGGTCCCAGCCCTCTAGGCAGCCCCGCCTCCTCCTTTATCCTGCCTCCGGGTCCCAAGGTGTTATCTGCTGTCACCTGGTCCTCAGGAGGTGAGAGACTGCAAATACTTCCCCAGTGACTCATGCCCAGCTTTCCCAGGGAAAGTGAGGCACACACACACACACACACACAAGAACACATATTCCTGTGCATCCAGAAATATAATCTATGCTATCATGTGCCTAAAGTGTCCATCTACTATGTACATTGGACAAACGTCTCAGACACTTCACCAAAGGATCAACGCCCACAAAACAGATATTAGACAAGATCACAAAGAAAAAACCGTTTCTTGCCATTTCAACCAGAAAGGACATTGTCTCAAAGCCTTAATTACCTGCATCCTGCTTCAAAAGCCTTTTAAAACTGCACTTGAAAGGGAATCCTCTGAACAGTTATTCATGCTAAAATTCGACACTTTACGCGGGGGTCTCAACAAAGACTCTAGTTATCTTACCCATTACAAAGATAGCTTCCCCAATTATCACCTCTAATATCATTAGCTCACAGACATTTACCTCCCCCTCCCTGCATCCTCCTTCTGTTCTGAAATTTGATTTATCCTTTTCATATGTGTACCTTTTTTAAAAAAAAAAAAAAATTATCCTTTGGTATATATGGTTGTGACTATTTTCTTCCACTATTTGATCTGAGGAAGTGGGTCTGGCCCACGAAAGCTCATCACCTAATAAACCATCTTGTTAGTCTTTAAAGTGCTACATAGTCCTGTTTTTTGCTTCAGCTACACCAGACTAACACGGCTACATTTCTATCACTATTCCACACACACCCAGAGTTACACAAGCAACAATGTCCATCAAAGAAAGACCTCTCTATCAGATAAAGCATTGAAAATGTACCCGGTGTATTGCACCGACACCCCAAAAGACAAGGTCCATACTCTAAGGCAGTGTCTGCATTGGCACCCTTTTCCGGAAAAGGGATGCTAATGAGACCAGTTGGAATTGCAAATGCCGCGGGGCAAACACGTACATGGGAGGTCAGTCAGCCGCAGCTGCCAGGTTTCCCCCTGCCCCGGGCAGAGGCAAGAGGGCAGCAGCGCCCCTCCGGCCCTAGAGAGAGCCACAGCAGAGTCCAGGAGAGAGGGGCAGCCACAGCACACAGAGAGCAGCTGTTTGGCATGGGCGGGAGGAGACAGACAGAGAGAGCAGCTACGCTAGAGCCCAGCGCAGAAGGGCAGGAAATTTGCACCCCGCAGGTGCAAAGCAGCAGAGACCCATGCAGAGGGACCCAACTCCATGACACCCCAGGAGACAGGGGGTGGAGATCTCTGAAGGCAGAGAGGAATCAGCCCCACACAGGCCTGGAAGCTGACCCCCCTCTCCCCATTGCTCCCCTGTGCCTTCCCAAGAGGCGGCGTGGGGGGCGGACGCGGACACAGGCCGGTATCATGCCGGACTCAGCTTTCCCTGGCCAGTGACGAGTCCCGGCTGGTCCAAGTCCAGCCCACGCTCAGGGGGAGAAGGGAGAACTCACCAGTTGTTGAATTCGGTGCCGTTCACCCATCGCCGGGGCTGGTCTTCCTCCCCCTGGAGGCCGATCCAGTGGTCAGAGAGGCCTCCGTAGCGCAGCATGAAGGCCTGCAAGGAGAGCCGCGGGACGCCGCGCGTGAACGCCGGACGCAGCTCCCAGCCAGCGGGGCGAATCTACTGGCCGACAGAGGGGACCCCACCAACACGCCGCTTGGAAGAGATTATTCTACAATGACTTGATCCAGGGACTCCCACCCCTTCCCAGGGCCCTGAGTCTCAAGAGTGATAATTAGGGAGGAAAAATGTTGATGAATTGGCTGCTTTGAAGCACCTCCTACTTCCCCCCTTTGCCTCTTCTTTCGGATAGAGGCGGCAGAGCGACTGGTTGACTAGCGTTGCGTATCAGTTGGCTAGTCGATCACATCCCTAGGGATCATCCGAGGGGTCTCCCCTTGACTCCCTCATCCTGAGTCCCATGAGACAGGCCTGAGACGTATCCAACGTGTCCCCGTCTAAGAGCCCCAGGACACAGGGACTAAGGTGAGGCCCAGGGGAAAGCAGTCGAGCTGGACTCAGGGAATCTGCTGGACAGGGAGAAGTGAGAGCTCAGGCCAGAGAGGGTGGATGGGGAGATGCCAGCAGATGGGGGGCCGGGGAGAGTGCAGGTGAAGGGGCTTTGGTAGCCATGGCTGGGTGGGGGTGGGGGGTGGAGATCTCAGTGCCTGGGGAGCTGGGGAGTTGGTGGAGACAGCAAAGGGTTGACCGGGATGGGCAGAATCTCATGGGTTGCTGCTGTGAGTTTGGAAGCCGGACGCCTTCCGCACAGACGTGGCTGGAAACACAGCCCTGAGGATTCATGGGTTTTGTGTCCGAGAGGGGAGAAGAGCCAAGTGCAGAGAGCGGAGGCTGACGGACAGACAGCCTGCCCCGGGGAGGGAGCCGGCTGTGCCCACGGGGATGGGGGTCTGCCCGGGAGAGGGGCCCTTAGGTCAACACAGGGCTGGGATGCAGCCCGGCCCCCATTGCTCCAGCTCCCACCCCGCCCCTTGGTCTGAGCCCTGACACCGCTGCAGCCTCAGCCTGCCGACCTGTCACTGCTCCGGGGACTCACCATTTCCTGCGGGGTGTCGATCGCAGCCAGGGAGGCCCCCAGGGCAGAGCAGTTGCTCCGGCTGTAGGTCCAGTTCCCTTCGGCCTCGGAGAAATAGAAGCATTTCCCCTGGAAGCTGACCCAGACCCCGGAGCAGGTTACAGGAGCCCTTGATGCAACCACTGGGAACGAAAGAGAGGGTGAGACGGTCCCTGTTCCCTGCCCTCCCAGGGGAACAGCCCCTCAGGCAAAGAATCCTACATCCCTACCCCAAGTCAGGGCAGAGAGCCAGGACCCCCCACATCGGAGCCAGCGACTCCGGGCCCAAGAGAGACCCCACCCCCTCTAATCCTCCATACGGACCAGGAGGCAGGATTCCTGGGGTCTCATCCCCCCGTTCTGCAAACCCAGCCCCATGGGGCCCCTCAGTAAGGAGGGGACAGTCCTGCCCCCCTTTGGGGCGGAGAGAAGTCACCTTGGGGCAGAACCATCCTCTCACTTTCTGCTGGGAGGGGGTGGGGAGAGCCGGCCATACAGAAGGGAAGGGCCTGGCCTGAGATGATGGGGAGTCAGCCGCCGAGTTGCAATCAGAACCCAGAAGGCCTAGCGGCCAGGCTGCCTCCTCCGCTCGAGTTGGGGGGCCAGGCCCTTGCGGGGGGCAGGGTGGGAGCATGACTGAAACAAAGGTTTGCGTGGGGCAAATGGACATCACGGCTCACACCGAGCAGCCTGGACAGCGGGAGCGGATCCTAGCCGGAGGGGGGCTTCTCAGTTCCAACTGGTCGGGCAGGCGTAACGCCCGGCTGTGCCGCACTAAGAGAGCCCCCGTCCCCGCCACGGGCTACCCCAGCCTGCTCAAAGAAGCTGCAGAGCCTGCCAGCCTGGACCTGGGAGCCGTCCCCGTGACGGGGGGGTGCGGGAAAGGCCGGTGTCGCGCCGAGCAACGCTGGGGAGGGAGCCCGAGAGCTGGGAGTGGGAATTCAGGTCAGCCCACTGACCTCGGGGAGGGAGTCTGAGCTGCATAGAGGAGCGATGATCACTGGGAACCACATTTCCTGGGGATCCTTCCTCGACCCGCTGCTGAGGTGCGAGGCCGGGAGGGGAGAACACACCACGGAGGGGGGAGCACAGAGGAGGACAGGTGGGGAACTTACCTGCCAGAGCTATTGTCAAAGCTATGACGAGGCTGCTGAGGAGAACGTACAGGCCACATGTGCCTGATGCGGTTCTGGAGGGAGACCGACGACCTGAAAGAGACGGTACAGATGCCCGCAGGGCTGCTCCACAGCAGAGGGAGCAGAGAAAGCGCGTTAGTGCCCAGAGCAGACACAGACCAGGGATTTATATATAGCGCCGGAATGCACCTACCCCCACTCGTTAGGGATCAGAAAGGCCCACCCAGGCCTGCCGAGGGTAGGGAGCTGCTCCAATTGTTCGGGACAGCCCCTGTCCTTTGTGGGGGGGAGCCCACCAGCCCCACTGGACAGAAGCAGCCCCCCGCTTGTCCCCCCATTAGTCAGTTAACTCGTTAAATATAATGCTTTCTAGCTGGTTGACCAGTTAAACAGGATTTTACATCCCTAGCACGCGGGCGTCGTTATTGGCTAGAAACCGTCCAGAGTCCTAACAACTCCCATCAAGATGAATTTTAACAACACAGCAAACGGTCTGGTAGCGCTTTAAAGACTACTTTAAATTTAAAGCGCTTTAAATCCCACTTCTTCAGATGGAGAAGCGCCCACAAAAGCGACCCCATCTCTATGCATGGTTAGTCTTTAAAGTGCTACCAGACCGTTTGCTTTTGTTTTTTTAAGTTTATCCATGTCATGGCTCCTTCCCCACTCTGGCATGATTAATGCAGAAGTGGGGGCCAGCAAGTGTACCCCCAAGCCTTATCTACCAGGCTTTGGTATAAAACTTCCCCCAA